TGCTATTTTATATTCACCAATACATCCATTTGATATTCACCATTACATCCTATTTGATATTCTCCAATACATCCATTTGATATTCACCATTTCATCCTATTTGATATTCACCAATACATCCTATTTGATATTCACCATTGCGTTCCATTTGATATTCACTATTTCATTCTATTTGATATTCATCATTACATCCTATTTGATATTCACCATTACATCCTATTTGATATTCACCAATACATCCTATTTGATATTCACCAATACATCCTATTTGATATTCACCAATACATCCTATTTGACATTCACCGATACATCCTATTTGATATTCATCAATAAATCCTATTTCATATTCACCAATACATCCTATTTGATATTCACCAATACATCCTATTTGATATTCACCATTGCGTTCTATTTGATATTCACCATTGCGTTCTATTTGATATTCAATATTTCATCCAATTTGATATTCATCATTACATCCTATTTGATATTCACCATTACATCCTATTTGATATTCACCATTACATCCTATTTGATATTCACCATTACATCCTATTTGATATTCACCATTACATCCTATTTGATATTCACCATCACATCCTATTTGATATTCACCATTACATCCTATTTGATATTCACCATCACATCCTATTTGATATTCACCATTTCATCCTATTTGATATTCATCATTACATGCTATTTGATATTCACCATTACATGCTATTTGATATTCACCATTTCATCTATTTGATATTCACCATTACATCCTATTTGATATTCACCAATACATCCTATTTGATATTCAATAATACATCCTATTTGATATTCACCGATACATCCTACATGTATTTGATATTTACCATTACATTCTATTTGATATTCACCAATACATCCTATTTGATATTCACCATTGCGTTCCTTTCGATATTCACTATTTCATCCTATTTGATATTCATCATTACATCCTATTTGATATTCATCATTACATCCTATTTGATATTCATCATTACATCCTATTTGATATTCACCAATACTTCCTATTTGATATTCACCATTGCGTTCTATTTGATATTCACCATTGCGTTCCTTTTGATATTCACTATTTCATCCTATTTGATATTCACCGATACATCCTATTTGATACTCACCATTACATCCTATTTGATATTCACC